TTCACTTAAAGCAACCCCTTCTGCGTTGAAAAATGCCTTGATTAGAGGTATCTTGCTCTTATCATCAGGAATTAAGATTAAGATAACAGCCTTGCTTTTATACTTATCCTTCAAACGTTTTCCCGAACACAGAGGTTCCCAAAGTGTTGGTTCAAAATGCTGTTGGTTGCTGTGAGTTAGATCTGCTTCCTGGGGAGGATGGAGGTGGGAGCAACAATCTTCTCACAGCTGAGGGACCTGCCCAAAACAAGCTCTCGGAATACCAGAGAGCCGTTGTACTGTGTCATTATCTTGGTCTTTTAGATGTCCCCAGTGGGGAGCATCCATCGTACTTACAATCGTTCGCTTTTTTTCCTTGAGAAAGCTTTCAAAGAGAACACAAGAGTTTGTTTTACACTGACACTGAGTCAGCTACACTGTGGGATAAATGTGTTGCTGATAGCGGTTTGTGATATCTCCATGTCACTGCAATTAGCTGCAGCTGAGAAGCTGTCCCACTCTCGTCTGTAAACTCTGGGTGCCTTCAACAGTAAAGGCAAATTAAAAAGCTGTCTGCTTCTTAGCAAAGTTTGTTTTGATTAACACGAGGTCCATCTGGTACCAGGAAAGTTTACATTTCTGTAAACTGCACGGTATTGAGTTTTACTAGGCCACCTACTCTGCTGTCTTCAATTATGAGCTCTCCGAGTGCTCTGATGATGTAATTGGTTTCAGGATGAGCTGTGCTTTTCAGGAAGCCGGAGCTGCCAGAGAGCTGTCTTGGCCTTTGTTCAAACTGTGCAAAAGAGGTTCCTGCGTTATTAAGCGCTTTTTGGATTTACTGTTTGTTGTGATTCTAGTTGCTTTAGGGAGTGTTCCTGAAAGGCTTTTAAAAGATAGCAAGTAGCCAATTACGTGCTGTTCTGCTTTGTGGGAAAGCTGGCACAAAGCAGAGGTAGAACCTCTGTCCAAGCATGCTTGTTTCTCGCCATTCTGTAAACCCGATGGTACGAACTTCCTGCTCTAACTCCATCTTTTCATCATGAAAATCTGAGAGACCCACATCTTGAAATGTTCACCTTGTTTTATGTTCTGGAGGTAGCATTTTGCTGCATGGGGCTACCGTCCATACAGTTTTTCCTACAGACATCCCACGCCTGCTCTCATGTGGAAATGTGTGTGTGTGTTTTGGCATCGGGAGCCACGTTACAATGGTTGGGTGGAGCAGGTGATAGGGAGTGGCTCCCATTAACAGTGGGATATTTGGCAGCCTTGTGTGGTGTGCAAATGCACAGAAATCTGACCTGTAAATGACTTTATTCAAGACAGCTATTATAAACAGGTATAAAACAGTTAAGCTAAGTAACAGTGATTTCTTTGATTGTCCTACTTAAGGACTTAAGGACAAAATCAAGAGCTTTGGCTGATCCTAAGGCTGTCTGAGCAAAGCTCAGTATGATTTGCAGCTTGCAGACACATCTAGATTTCACATGCCTATGTTGCACATTCTCTGTGTTGCAAACATTTAGCAAACTTCCAGGTGTCATTTGCAGTTCATTTGATTTTAATGCACAAACATGTATTTTTCTTCACTCACACCAGATGTGAGATGTTTTCCTAGTTAACTTTCCTGAACCAAAAAGTAAGCTCCATAGTTGTGGAACCACAGAATCATAAAGATTGGAAAAGACCTCTAAGATCATCTAGTCCAACTGCCAACACATCTGCACCATGCCCACTAACTGTGTTCCTCAGTGCTGTGTCCACATGTTTCTTGGACACCTCCAGGGTTGATGAGTCCACCACCTCCATGGGCAGCCTGTTCCAATGCATCAGCAGCATTCTTTTGGAGGATAGATTTTTCCTAATATCCAACCTGAAGATTGGATGAGGTGCTCTGGAAAGCCACATGGATTTTGTAGAACACTGATTAATTGAGGGAAATCATATGTTTATGTCGCTTGTGCAAGTTGATTTAATGGGAAGACAGCTTGGATACCAAACTCTGAGCAGTGTTTTCTATCATGGTTTCCAGGTAGACTTCAGGATGGCAGCTTTCTGAAAATGAACTTTTTGCTTCTTGGTTGGACTGTCATGGAAAGAAACATTTTATAATCAAAGCAGTAAAAAGATTTGGAGGACAGATAAAAAAGTTCTGGACTCTCTGAACGCTCTTGCTTCACCCATTCCTCCTTTTTTACTCTGTTTCCTACTGTGTTGCAGTTCATTGTTCTTCAGTGCAGCGTGGTGATTTGCAGATAGTGCCTATGTAAAGATTTCTTCTTATTTTCTTTTTTCTTGCCATTATTGCTCCACAAACACAAATGGTGAGAAGACTCAAGATTTTCTGAAGGCCTGATCTGAAATCCTGGCAGTGGCCAGAGCTACCACAGGATCTGCCTTTAATTCTGTGGAGTGCTTCAGATTTACTTTGACTTGTAGATAAACTCATGCCTTAAAACTGTTTGGTAGCTTGTGTGGTGTGGTGTTATACTTGCTGCTAGGAAGGTGTGAGTTTCAGGCATCATTTTAGTTATTTACAGGCAGAGAAAAAGGTCAGGCTGGATGGGGCTCTGAGCATCCTAATCTAGCTGTGGGTGTCCCCGTTCACTGCAGGAGAGTTGGACCAGATGGCCTTTATGGGTCCCTTCCAACTCAAAACGATTCTGTGATTCTGTGAGAACCAAGGTATGAAGAGTTGACCATTGCTTCACTGTACTGCCAAAGATGAAAGAGTATACAGGGAAATGTTATCTTAAGTCTCAGATCCCTGCCCTGCATGTGCAAAGTGGTGGGGTCTGCGTGCTCCCTGTAGCTTGCCTGGATGTGGGCGGTGAGCACGTGGCCCAGAGGTGATGGCAGCTTTGCCAGTTTCAAGTCGCTGGTGTGAGGCGATACGGTTTCTTGAGGACAAAGTTGGCACACTTCTTAACACCAATAAAGGTGTTCCTCTGTCTCTAACTGGAGTGTCAGAAAAAGGAAGCTGAACTGATCTGGCTGCTCTTTTTTCAGAATAATTCCACCTAAAGCAAATATTTGTAGTGGAAAATCTCTGCCCAAAGTGTTACAGCTAGTTAAAACTTCAAGCAAGTGAAAACAGGTTCTTCATAATGAAAACAGTCAGGCCGTGTGATTAATAGTCTCACCTCCCTCCACCTATAAAAAAATACAAACAAAATGCAACCTAACACTTCTATTCTTGCTGCAAATCACAAGGGGGTTACACTTCGTAAAGGGTTCCAATGGGGAACAAAAGACCAGGATTTGATCCAAATGCTATTAAAGTCGCTGAGAGCCATTCCCTTCGGCTGTGGTGGGTTTTGGAGCAGGGCCATGGTGAACACTTGAAGGCCAGCCTGACCTTTCACAGAGAAGGAAAGCTGGAGACTTAGTTTCATCTCACTTGTACTTACTGGAGCCTGATTAAAATCAGTGGGAGCTCAAAAAACTTTGCACTTCGCAGAGTTCAGCCCTTGAAGATTCATCTGACATTTAAGTCAGATTCTGTGCTTAAATGTCAACATTTCTAAGTAAGTAGTCGCCAAAGATGCAAAGTCATTTGACTTTCTTTGCAATGTGTGGTTGGTTTTAGTTTAGTTTTAGGCATGATACTTAGGGAAAGTTTTCTGAAGATGGGTTGTTTTCTAGAAGGCACCCAGATGTCCTTCTGGATGTTAAATGCTGACTGTTTCTTGCTGGCTTTGTCGCTATTGCTTTTGTCTGTAATGCAGTTTTTTTTCTCCATCCTTCCGTGGTGTCCAGGATTGCAAGCTTCCTACTATAGAATATTTGAACAAAAAGCCAGATATTAATGACTCCTACCAGCATTAGGAAATGCTGTAGTCTTGTTTTTTTTTCCTCTGAGACTTGAAGGGTGGAAGCAGTCAGATGATAAATTGTGCTGAGGAATTTGGGAAGGAAATAAGATGCAGTTTATGTGCTGGATGTTCGCGGGAAAAATGTATGACGCTGTCATGCTTGGAAAACTAACTTGTGTGCAGGTGTTGATTCATTCTGTAATTTCTGTAAATCATTTAAATAGAGTATCCTGGTACTGATTTGTTATGCAGAAGAACCCAAAAATGTTTTGGCTCTGAATTTATTTTGTTTACTTCTTATTTATAACTTCTTAAAATTATCTGTCAGATTTCCAATAGTTTTCTAGTTCCTCTCTGCTTAAAATATTCGTATCTCTTCTGTATTTCTTTCTGTTTCTCAGTGCTTTATTACAGTGACAAAAACTCTATCAGGTTCTGTAGAAATGGAATTCTCATTGAATTAATGTCTTAGGGATGGCACCATTTGTTACATTAAGAAGACTCCCTGGAATTGGACAAGTGCTTCTACCCTACAGTAAAATAAATATGTAGCTTAGGCTCCAGATAGAGCTTAATTTTATTCATTGAGAAACAGAAAGGTTTTCATGAGCACTCCTAGAACAATAAACCACCTGTGTGTTTGTCTCTGCGCAGTTAATTATCATAACACCTTGTCAGTAGACTTGTCAGTAATGAAACAAGTGTGCAGAATGCCCTTAAAATACAAAAACTTATTCTAAGTTCAGTTCTACTGGACAGTTTTTCCCATCTCTAGAGACTGAGCAGGGAGCTGGGAGCAAGGAGGTTTTGCATTTTAATTGTAGACTGAAATTGAATTGTTGTGTTGATACATTCCTTTGGGAGACTGAGCACAGCAGTCACAGTGTAACGTGGGCTTTTCTGGGGATTAAGGAGTTAACTGATGATTTAAAAACAAATGCACATACAGAAAACAAGTCAAAAAGCAAAAAAACTCCACAGAATTTGTGGGGGAAACTTCAGTGTCTTAGAGCATGTATTATTTCAAGTAACCTCTGTTTTACAATTGTAATTCTATCCTTGAAAGGGCTTTGAAGTATAGAAGGGGTCTTGTTACAGCAAGGTATTTGAGGGTGGTTAAAATAAAGCATAACTTTCTTCCAGTTTGAAAAATAAGTTACTGTTTCAGAGTATTTAAAAATTATTTGTTTCCTTATATTTCAGCTACCTGACTGCAAATAACAATGAGAATTTCTTGTACACTGCAAGACCTTTTTTGAAGAGAGCTGCTTTGGTAATAAGCTATGTAAGTACGAATGGACTTGACCACGTGTTTCTGTTTGTGACAAGAATGAGCATTGTGTGGTAGTGTCCCAAAAGAGTCAGAAAGCTGAGGTGGTGGATGTTAAGTAAAGTTAGTGTTGGAAAATGGTCTAGAAAACTTCAGCTGGGCACAAACAAAACTATTATTGTGTTTTTGGTTCAGATTTTCTTTTAATTTGTAGTGGTTGTCATTACAATTACATGATCATCTGTAAACCTTTCCTGCCCTAACTACGGAGGAATTGGTGGTGCTGGGCTGAAGGGAAAGTCATGACTTTTATGGCATGCTTTTAGTTTCATAGCAGGGCTTGATTGGTCGCCAGAACAGCTCTGTCTGCAAATACCTTGTTCTTGGTGTGCTCCAAGCAGCACTTGACATGTTGCTGGGGAGAAACCCATCACCACCATGTGGATCCGCTGGGTGTACAATTCCTTGTGCTTCTTGAGGAGCCAAATCCCCCTGCCTGTCCTGCAGTGACAAGTGGCTCCCAGAGAGGTGGTGAAATGCCAAACCACAGAAGTCCTTCCAAAGATTAGGATTACACAGCATGAAAAACATAGGTGCAGTTTGTCCTTAGACCGGTGTCAGCATGAGTGAATAATAATAGCTTTTAAGATATGAGTCCTGTATTCTCCTCTGTATTTAGTTAGAGGTCAGTGGCTAACCTCCACTAAGACTGAGCCACAACAAGGTGATGAATTTGTCCTTTGAAATTCTGCCTTTCTTGTGGGAAGCTGTGATAAGCTGATTCCTCTAAGTAATGCGCATGTGAGCAGGGGCGTGGAGGACCAGGCAATATGCTGAGAGCTGCCACATTCAACATATGCATATTCATAGCCCTCTAGCTGATGCCCAGAAGATTAGAGCTCTTCCCTTACTCTACAAGTCTTTGTGCTGCTAGGCTCTGCACTACAGCAGCCTGCGGTGTGCATGGATGCGGTGGCTGCTGGGCTGGAAGTGGGGGGCAATAGAGCTGGGGATTGCACTGGACTGGGAAGCCAGAGTGGGCTCGACTGTCTTAGACAGAAACATTTTGCCCCTCAGTCATGCAGGGCCTGGACAACTCTTCCCCTGCCTAGCAGCCTCAGATGCTCAGGAAGGTGAACATAACTCAGAGCTGAATTTTGCCACCTGCACAGGATGAGAAAATTGAATTTTGCCTCAACAGCTGAGCTGACTGTCTTCTAAGTACAGCATAGAGCCAAGAGAACTATCAAAACAAATATTTAGCAGCACATTACTAACCTAGATGTTCTTCTTTGAAGGTGATTCTCATTTTGTATTTCCGTCTCTGGATAATGGGAGGATCCATGCCAATGTTTTCAGAACAGGACAATCCAGCTTCATTTTCACCCTATTTGCTGACGAGGTACAACAAAATTAATCAAACAAAAGTTTGCGAAACTGTAGTCATGACATTATTTTTTCTTTGCACTAAAATATATTACAGATGGTAAATGAGAAGACTTGTTTTGCTGCCTTAATTGCTTCTCCTTATTGCTCTGTCTAAAATAGAAAACAATCAGAACCCCAAAACACGCTCTAGTTCCTGTTAAATTATGTTACATCCTTTCTTACTGAAAGCTCTGGGCTTATTTTTATGCAAAGTGCAAAATGTCATTCAAGTGTCTGAGCATGGGACTGGGAAGCCCAGTGACTGAGGCTTCAGCATTCAAACTGGCTGCTCCCTAGGTATGGGGTGTAAGCGTTCCGTTTTGGCATCAACTGAAGTTCATATGGAGGGGCATGACCGCCCCCGTTGGTGAAATATGAGTGGCTGATCAAGACTGTGAAAGTGGAAGTCAGGATTCTACTGGCATAGAGTACTACTTTCTAGTGCACATTTTTAGCTTCAGCACAGGATGGGCTGCTGTGGGTATTAAAAACATGCCTTAACAAACTTCTGTTATTTTATTTCTGTTTTTCAAATGATACATAAATATTTAAACATAAATATTATACTTAATTATTATACTTACACATATACTTAAAGGCAAAAATGACCTTTTCCTTGCCTGGGACCTGATGTATTGTTAGTTTAAGGTGCAGCATCCCTCTGGTTCTGCTGGACCTGACCATCAGGGAAGTGGCTGCTGTGATATGGCTCTTCCTTCCAGAACTAGCCAGACCAGTGCTCCAAGAAGGTAGTAGGAAGTTGACTTCCTCTTAAGGCAGGACCACCTGCATAACTGATTGTTCTGGTTTGCTACTAAACAGGGGAAAGATGCTTTGGAGGCTTCTGGAGGAAATTCCTGATGTCCCACATGAAATGGGAGTGGTCCTCCAGTGTCATTTTCTGATCTCAGTGGCTCTTAATTCCAGCAGCAGAATTTCAGCTGAGCCACCAGTTAAGATCAAGATCTTATTCAACATCTGCTGCAGAGTCAGGCTGGATCTCATTTGGGAGACCTTTATGATAATGTGACAACAGCTCCTATTACCATCAAGGCTAAAAGTGCTTCCAGGAGGAACACTGTCTGATTTGGAAAGCTCTGATCTGTTCACAATATTTCTGGCAGGGTCATGAATACCAGACTGTGCAGCACAGCATGAAGGATTTGGTGTTGTCCCTTTTTGATATGTTTCTGCTAGGGTGGTAGTCATAACGTCCTAAGTGATCCTGGGCTGACTCCAATTACTTATTTTGTGCTGCAGATGTCTTTTATGTGTTTGTCTCTTTTCATCTTATAATGACAGGGGAAGGTTTTTAAATCCCAAAGCTAAACTTCTGGGGGTATAAAACAGTGCCTATTTTTGCCACCTGTGCTGTGGATTTTTTTGACAGCCTCTTGAAGGACTACGAGAAGGCTGCTGGCTGAGCTCCTCCCTGGCCTCACGTGCAGTCCAGCAACACCTGTCTGCTCCACACATCATGAAAAGTCATGACAGAAGCTCTTCCAAGGGAAGACTATAACTGTTTCTCTGAAGGGATTTTAAAACCTCACAGTTAGCCTGGATCTTCCAAGTCTGCTGAGGTTGATGCTACCTCTCATTTTAGCCAACTTACTCAGAGGCCTATGCTTTCCACGCAGAAAACTCATTCCTTTTGCAAGCCCATCTGGCAGCTGTTCTGTGGCTTTCTAATTTTCTCTGCTGAAATACTACCAACCCCTAAAGTCTGGATGGAACTATAGAATATGTTTCTGGACAGCGAGGGTGGCAAATTTTTTGTAAAGCAGGTGGAAGCTTTACAAGGGGCTTTCAAGACCAGTCAGAGTGAGTGAATACTCAGGATCCAGGTAGCTGTTGGTATGCGTGGTCATCTGGCCAGCTGGTGGATGTCCTGTCACATAGGAGAGATTTTTGTTATGGTCCAGAGTTGGAGGAGCTGCTGAGCAGTTCATGCTCCTGTTGTGGACACCTGAAGCAGTAGGTTATGAGAAGTTGGTGTGAGAAGCTTACGTGAGGTTTTAAATCAGTCATTAGTTTCTATTTGAAAGCAAAAGTCTTTATTTGCTCTGAGCTGGAAATGTGGTTACTGTGCATGCCTTGCCAGGGTAAATGTTATGGTATTCAGCAGGTTAGTTATTTTAAGACTTTGCCAAATCTGTGGAGCTAGGAGGAAGGCTGATATCAACAAATGGATTAAAAAATGGGAAAAAAACAAACCAGTAGTTTAGAAATATGTGGCAGTCATTGTGAAATGCATGAAATTGGATATGGAGTTGAGGTCTTGCCTGACATAAGATAAACCCAAAGGAGGACTGTTAACTCTTGCAAGGCTTCTGTGTCAGCTATTTTGCTGTGCAGGTGGATTTGTCCCAAGGTTGCCAAGGGTTATTGGAGGGTGGTAAAGATTAGGGCTGGGCATAAGCTATGGTTGAGTTTGAAAAACCATTGGCTAATGAGGTCAGATTTTGCCAGCTGTTACAGTGCTTGTAATATCAATTACATGACTGAGGGTGTGAGGAAGGGCAACCATATCTCAGGCTGCATCCAAAGAAGGGCCAGCAGAGCAGGGGAGGTGATCCTGCCCTTCTACTCAGCAGTAGAGTAGAGTACTCTGAGACCTCACCTGGAGTACTGAGTGCAGGTGTGGAGTCCTCATTGCAAGAGAGATATGGACTTGCTGGAGCACATCCAGAGGAGGGCCACAAAAGTGATCCCAGGGATGGAACACCCTCCCTCAAGGACAGGCTGAGAGAGTTGAGGCTGTTCAACCTAGATAAGAGAAGGCTCCAGGGAGAGCTAAGAGTGGCCTTTCAGTATCTAAAGGGGTCTATAAGAAAGAAGGGGACAGACTCTTTAGCAGAGTCTGTGGTGACAGAACAAGGGGAAATGGTTTCAAGCTAGAAGAGGGGAGATTTAGACTGGATATGAGGAAGAAGTTTTTACAGTTGCCCAGGTTGCCCAGTTTTTGCAGGTTGCCCAGAGAGGTGGTGGATGCCCCAACTCTGCAGACACCCAAGGCCAGGCTGGATGGGGCTCTGAGCAACCTGATCCACCTGTGGGTGTCCCTGTTCACTGCAGGGTGGTATACTAGGTGGCCTTTAAGGTCCCTTCCAACTCAAATAACCATGTGATTCTATGATTCTATGTCTGTGAATGTACAGAGTAGGTGAGCATGAAGAAAATACTGTATATGAAATAGAGAGGAGAAGAGAACCGGTTCAAAATAGGCCAAGGAGGTGGTTTGCAACAGGTAATTGAGTTGGGGAGATGTTTCCACAGAACATAGTAAGTGTGCTGAATGCTTATGTGGGCTCAAAGAGAGATTCACCAAGTCTTAAGGAAAAACAAAAATACAACCACATACAAAACAGACAAGCAGGCTATTAAATATGCAAAAACCTCATCTAACCTGGGGACATCTTGGTATCTAGAAATTGGGAAAAAGTATCTCCTTGTGCTTTTTTTGTATGTTTTTTTGCTGGGCATTAATTTTTGGTCACTATTGGTGAGAGGATCCTATTTTTAGCAGACCTTTGTTGCAGTCCAGTTTGGCCCTGGAAAATGACCATATATTCTGGATAACCTATCTCCAGTCTTGAACAGTGTAGAGAACAGAGAACTGATTCAACCTTTGGAAGAAGAAACAGTGTGAAATAGTGACAGCTTTCAGTCTTAAAAAAAACCTGTTCAGTATGTTCACTAGATTACCATCATTACAATTACATATCAATGGGGATTCAAATAAGTGCTTTGAAAGTCAAAATATGAATGCTTCCATTGCTGCAAGGTACTGGATTTTGTAATACTGACAAATACTGAGATAAATGAAAGCTGCATTCTCTGTCCTCCAGTATGTTGCTTGGCAAAGGTGATATGAAGAAAAATCTGTCCATCACTCCCTCTCTCAGCTGAAGTAGAAATGAAGGTGTTAGGAATCCTGTTACTCCTAAGTGCTGCCATTACAGCCTGTCCACACAATCTGTTGTTTGCTACAGAAGGGAAGTAGCTTCTCAAGTGACCTAATCTAAAGAACACAGACTTTCATTCACTGTGACTTGCCATCCCAGAATCTGCTATGGGAAAGCCATTGAATAAAGAAAACAATTCCATACATCTCTTCCACCATTCTTGCTTGAATTAGATGTAAGTTGAAAAAGAATGCAATTAGAAAGGCTTGGAGAGCTACCCAGCTTTGTGCAAACAGTGTACTGGAGTGCAATTAGAGTGTTAGCAGGGCACTGAGTGGTGAGCTGTCATGCTTCAGACATTTAGCACGTCTCTTTATTTTGCTATTCTTGAGGAGGAAAGAAGAAGGAGGCCTTTGAATAAACAGATTGTGTTACTAACACCATGGTAAGACAAGGAAGAACGTCCATTGTACAGCATGTCTTAAGGTGTGGGAAATACTGAATCTTGCTAGTAATTTCAGACTAAGTAAATGTGTTTCTTTCAAACTATATCTCTGGGAGATAGCTCAAGTTATATTAACAGCTTGTGGCATTTGCCTTGTGATGTTCCTTGGCTGCTCACTGTGGTCATAAAGTAGACTTGTTTGTGTTGTTGCATTAAATAGTTAATGCATTTCTGCCTTGAGATAGCATTGTCCTGTGGTTGAACTCTTTAAGCTAGCTTTATGCATTTCTTTGGTATTTCAAACAGATAAATGAGAATTCAGTCCCATAGAAAGCTGAAGGAATACATAAAAACTGGCACATACACCTTTACATACAGGCCTGTGACTGTTTTCTGAGCAAGGTGTGTAATCATCACAGCTGTAACATCCACAGGAATGAACTACAGAGAGGTGTGCGGCAGACCTGTGCTGGGGATGTAGGTCCCGGTGCCGGCCACTCTGCCGAGGCAATAAAGTGTAGCAACTCCTCTGGTATGCAATTTGCACTAACCTCGGGCTAGGAGCTGGCATTAAAACAGACCCCTGCAATGTATCAGCCTTTAATTAGCCAGGTTTTCACATGC